TTGTTGGTGGCAGCCATTTTAGATTCCTGGCTGCCTATATAAATAGACCAGTTCCCTGCTGGCAGGCCAGGCAGCAACATTACCTGGCTGCAAGGCTGCTGGTATCATCCTGGAGGTAGGGGAGGAGCTGTAGGGGATGCCTAGGAGGTTCCTGGTCCTGGGCATGACCTAAAACTGCACCCTGCCGGGAGTGGGTGGCCTGGTGGGGATCTCAGCGGTGTGGGAGGCAAGGCCAGTTACCACCCCGGTGAAAGGTGGGTCGGGGTGCCTTAACCCCAGCTCTCACAACCGGGTGGATCACCCACTAGTAGGGCCCAGAGGGCAGACCCCAGGAGATAGAGTGGGGCTAGAGACTCAGACCTGATAGAGTACCCTTGACTGGTCAATGCTGGGGCCAGGACCAGCATGGTCAAAAGGGCCAGGGGCCCACTGCGAGGGATGCCCAGAGCTCAGACGGCCTGGGGTTTCCAACTGGCCTTGGAGGTGAGGCCAGGGCCTGTATGGCCAAAGATCCCGGGAGGACCACACCTGAGAGGGGAAAATAGTTTCAGGGAGCTATAGTTTCAGGGAGTTTCAGATAGCCTGAATGAAGGTGGAGTAGGCCACCGGAATGGAGAGATCTTGGAGGGGTCCTGATTAGAGAAGTCTGGGGCCCAGTGTGGGGCCAGCGAGATTAATATCAGCAGGTGCCACCTGTGAGGCATGGGCTGCATTGTAGGGGAGGTATGGAGCCGCAGATAGTGCCCCCTGGCATCGGGGCAAGAATGGGCAGCCTCCTGCCTAATTAAGATCATTAATCAATGAACAACAAGGCGTGGCAGGTGGGAAGGCGGGTGGTTGGCCCAGAAACAGGTGGGCAGGCCAAAGGTAAATCGGCCCCAAGAAGACCCCCTCTTAAAGTAAGGAAGGTAGATCATAAGCTTCTTTTCATCTTAGGCATAATCCATGTCTAAATATTAGAAATTGGGATGAGCGCTAATGTGGGAGGAGAAACAATGTGTGACCCTAATTTACGCAGATGGTCTGGTGAAACATGACAATGCAAAATGCCAAAATAGATTATCTGCCTAGTTTGGTACTTTTGCCAACTAAGTGCCACAATCAAACTAACTAATTGTTAGATTGTGTTTGATTGTGGTGTTTGATTGTGGTGTTTGATTGTAGATTTGTCAATCAAACCCTTGATTCATGTTTGATTGTTAGATTGTGTTTGATTGTGTTAGTGCTACAATCAAACTAACTAATTGTGGTGTTTGATTGTGGTATTTTTGCACCCCTAGCATCTGATGGTACCCACTATAAGAGAGGAGGTCTCATAACAGATGGAACTTGAATGTGATAAAGAATGGCCATTTCTATGATCCTATCTTTAGTAACTCCTGTCTCTATGGTAACTCTTTTTTTGTATCATTACACCTGACCACTTACCTTAGTCCCTCTAAAACTGCCAAACTGGCTGGAGAAAACTTGCTTACTGCTCCTAAGGGAGTTTTCTCCAGTCCTTACCAAAAAAGGATGGTTATGTAACATGGGGGTCTGAAGATTAGAGAAATTAAAGTGCGTAATAAGGATAGAAAATTTTCAGAGATGTGAGAGTAGCTCTTACGGAGGGGAGGTAATTTGCTAATGGATACACATATCATTAATATGATAGGAAATTCAGAAAACAGAAAGGTTAGTTTGTTGTTCAGTATTGTTCATCAGCTAAATCATATGAGGCAAATGTAGAGATTTACTGAAGAAACTGAAGTAAGTTATCAATCCTCAAATGCTTAGCTTCTGAGATTCTCTATTTAGTTAATCTAATATTCCCAATATAGTATTCTGTGTATCTGTATACACAGTTCCATAAGTAGTTAATTATTAACAATATCAATAATAACCACAATCTGTTATTAAATAGAAATGTTTTAATTTGATGTCTGTACAGTATTAGTAAGTAGCCTACAGAGTAAGTGTAGCACTTTGTAAGTAAATCACATTATTTGTATAGTGCTCAAACTGTGTCAGATCATTTTTTGAAAAATAAAACATTCTCCCTGTCCTGAGTATAGATCATCTTTCAGTTAATTTTATAATGTATTCAAATGTGTGAAGATATTCTGTCACTAATTCAGTACACTTATTTTAAATAGGATCTACTGAAGAGAATTTCGGAAAAAGCTCCAACAAACAACTTTTCCCTGCTACTTTATTCCAACTTGTTCAAACTAACTCCTCTTAAACCCATTTTTTTTCCTCTCATGCCAGTAGTATAACTGAGGGTGGGTGAGAGGGGCACTTGCTCTGGGCACCAAATTCGTAAGGGCATCAGAATCACCAGATGAGAAAGAGAGACAGAAGAGAAATAAAGGGGATAGAGAAAAAGAGAGGAAGAGAAAGAAAAAAAAAGAGATAAAGAGAAGCGAAAGAAAAAAGAGAGAAAAAAGGAGAGGAGAGAGAGAAAAGAAAGGGAAAGGTAAAGAAAGAAAAAAGAGGAGAAAAAAGAGGAGACAAAGAAGGAGGAGAGAAAAGAGAGAAAAAAACAAGGAGAGAAAGAGAGAAGAGAAGAAAAAGAGAGAGACAGAAAAAGAGAGAGAGAGAGAAAGAAGACGGGGGGGGGGGGGGGGGGCGGGGAAAGAAGGCATGTCCCTTGCTACCCACATCTCCCACTGCAACTAGCTGTGGCTTGGGCCTGCTGGTCCAGGGCAGTGTCTGGCAGACAGAGGCAGTGACACCCCAGCAGCAGCCACTAGGGCCAGGGCACTCAGGCCTCCCCAACACTCCTGGAATAGGGGGAGCCCAGGCCCAGGGTTGAGAGGAAGGGTCTATCTGGGGCTTGGGCAAACAGAGGCCCCATCCCACTGGGGCACTGAGCACGGGGGCTGAGTGCTCGGGGCAGGATCCGGCTGGTGTGGGGAGAAGCAGGCATGGGGGGAGGCACCACAGGCAGGCTGGCTTGGCCAGGCCCTTGAGAAGGTGGCAGCTGGAGAGCAGGGGCCAGGAGGGAATGGGGGGCAGCCCCAGGGCTCCACAGACTCAGGCCCTGGTGGCGGGCAGGGGTGCCCAGAGGCACCCGAGGTGGGACCTGGCTTGGTCCGGCCTATGCAATTCCATGGGGATGTACCACAGCTGCCCTGCCCAAAAGGGGACACAACTTGGCCAGGGCAGGATGCCGGGCTAAGGGGGCTCCCAGCTACAGGCTCAGCCTCCCTATGCACTGGGCACAGTGCAAGCGGGACGGAGCCACCTCCGATGCAAGGGCCCACACATGGCCCAGCCCAGTGCCGTTGGTAGTGCTCAGGGTTGAGCCAGCCAGGAGCCTCCAGTGTCCCTGCCTGTGTTCTCCTC